ATGGCATTTTTATATCCAAGTATATATCCATGAGGTGGGTTAATTACTTGACATTATATAAGTTCTAATAACACTGTTTAAAATAGCAGATTGCAGAACAGGAAACACTGATGCAATCTCAGGAAATGAGGCTGAGGGAAATGTGTCTATTTATGAAGGGTGTGAATGCCACTCACTTGATAGGGCAGGACACATTATTTTCTGAAATTCTACAGAGCACTTGTACTAGAGGATGCCAATATGTCTAGGACAAGTTTGGTGAAACCTAGATTTGCACTGGTGTCAGTGGCTCATGCCTGTAATCCTAGCTACTCAGGAGGCTGAGATCTGAGGATTGCGGTTCAAAGCCAGCCCAGGTAGGGAAGTCTGTGAGACTCTTATCTCCAATAAACCACTAGAAAACTGGAAGTGGCGCTGTGGCTCAAGCAGTAGAGTACTCGCCTTGAGCTGAAGAGTGCAGGGACAGAGCCCAAGTCCAGAGTTCAAGTCTCATGACCGGCCCCTCCCCCCCAAAAATTAGATTTGCTTAAGACAGACCATGAATATGTGAATATGCACTGTTACTCTTAGAGGGTATTTTATATATTGGATTTCTCAAACTCAACAATATGATATGTTAACAGGCATATAACAAATATGAAAAATGCCCCAAACTGATATGTCATTTAATTCTAGTATTCAGTGTACAATGAAGACTTCAGACAATTCATGGTCTTCTCTCCTCTGTATCTAGCACACCACAGGGCTCTATGGACAAATAGAATGAACTATCTGAATAGTGTTTAATTCTCTCAGTTACAAAGTGAGAAAACAGCTACACAAATTTTAAAAGGATTAAAGTGTTGAAGAAAAGTGATTATAGGGTATTTGCCTCTAAGAGCTCTTTTGTATTCAAATCAAATCGAGATAGATTTATAGATATAGGAAATAAAAAAGGTAGGGGAAATAGGCAAGGGACTACTATCTAATTATTGTCTCGTAGTGTGATTTTTACTTAATCTGTGCAAGTTCTGTGCAAAAGGAACAACCAGACTGAACCTTGAAAGAATCTTAAAACCTGCTAAGCACAGTGACAGGGTCCCAGTGGGGGGAAAAATATGGTATTATGGTTATAGACTCAGGCTTGTCTGAATCTCAGCTCTGCCTCTGACTAATGTGTGATGTCTACTAAGGAAATTTATTTCTACCTCGATTTTCCTCATCAGCAGAATGGGAACACAAGTATATTTCTCTCTGAGGGCTGTGTGAAGGATTACAAATAAAATAATAAATGTTGGGTTTTATATAGTAGAAAAATGAAAGGCAGGGTTTGTGTTCATTTATTTTCTAAGCTGCAGTTTCATAGCTGTGGTTGGACTCTATTTTAACCTTCTTCCCCAACTGGTGCTCACAGTTATTAGAAAATTTATTTTTTGTGTGCCAGTTCTAAAGCATGAATTCAGGGCCTGGGAGCTGACCCTGAGTTATTTTTGCTCAAGGCTATCACTTTATCACTTGAACCTCAGCTCTATTTCCTGTTGTTGTTTTTTTTTTGTTAGTTAATTGGAGATAAGAGTTTCATGGACTTTTCTGCCTGGGCTGGCTTTGATTCGTGATTCTCAAATCTCAGTCTCCTGAGTAGCTAGGATTATAAATGTGAGCCACCTGAGCCCAGCTCCACAACTCAGTTTTTTTTGGGTCCGGTTGTGGGGCCTGAACTCTGGGCCTGGGCGCTGTCCCTCAGCTCTTCAGCTCAAGGCTAGCGTTCTACCACTTGAGCCACAGCGCCACTCCCGGCTTTTTTCTTTTTGCTTATGTGGTGCTGAGGAATCGAACCCAGGGCCTCAGGCATGCAAGGCAAGCGCTCTACCACTGAGCCATCTTCCCAGCCCCACAACTCAGTTTTAAGGAGTATCCTCTTCTACCCAGGTCAACTACTCAGCTAAACTTACTATTCTCTCAATCCATATATTAAAAAAGAATCATCCGGTGCTAATTCTTTTATAACCAATAACTTGCAAATGCATGAACGTTCCTGGCTGATTTATATCTGGGTTATTTTCTGTCTTTACCTCCAATTTTCACCAGTTCAATTGAAGGTCAGTTAAAATACACAGGGATTCTTGGCATCTAGAATTCGGAAGATACATAAAGATGAGCTAGAAACAAGAATGAATGCTATACTGCAGCTCACAGGAATGAGTGATGTAAAATGAGGGGCAACCAATATGGCAGTCTCAATATAATATTCTAAGATACTTCAGCAACTAGTTTGTTAGGTCCTATGATGTGCTGATGTATTTCATCACTGCTGATACTGAAGGTGAACCTATCATTGGGCTTTTAGTACATTTTTAGTACGTTTTGATTGCATTCTTTGTCCTGTTTTTTGTTTGTTGGCTGGTGGGTTGGTTTTGTTTTGTGTGTGTTAGGGATTGAACTAAGGGCCTTGTGCCTGTTGGATAAGCACTCTACCACTTGCACAAAGCCCAGCTCTTTTAGTTTAGATTCCCTCCCCTACCCCCTGCCCCCAGATAGTAGCTCACTTCTTTCTTTCTTTCTTTCTTTCTTTCTTTCTTTGCTCAGCCTTGGCCTGTAATCTTCCTGTCTCTGCCATCTGAGTAGCTGGGGCTATAGGTAAATGCCACCATAATCAGCCTTTTTGCCCATGGTAGTGCATTTCTCCCCAAATTGTTCTTCACATAAGCCAGTGAAACATTGGGTTATCAGCAAACATTTTTTGAGGATTCTCCAATAATCCCCCAAACCCTTCCACATCAGACTGTAGGACTCATTGTTGATTCCAATAAAAAAGAAGGAACTACAAAGATGCTATTTGACACCATATTAACAATGAAGTAAAATTTAAATTACTTCCAATAGATCAGTAAAATCTGTAAACAAGCCAATTAAGGCTAATGGAACCTTCACAAATAAATTGTCTATATATATACTCATTTATGACTTACATTTTCCTTTGAGGACAACTCTAAAAATGAGTAAGCTTTTTAAGTGATCAAGATGTCTACATTAGTTCAGCTGTTCAAAGGCTTTGTTTCTAATCCAAAGGCAAAAGTTAAATGAAAGAGTGCTTTTCACAAGGCTATCTCTCAGAGGATAGGGACCATAGGGTTTAATGTTTGTTATACAAAATAAGATCTAATGTATATAATTTTATGATGTACACTTAAAGATCAAAAGACTGCTATTACTAGTGGTATTTTAGTTACAGCTCTGTCAAAATTACATGAAACTATCTCCCACGTCTTTTACAAAGTGGGGTGTGTGTGTGTGTGTGTGTGTGTGTGTGTGTGTGTGTGTGTGTGTGTTGCTCATACAGATGAGCTCCAGAACTATTCTGGCATGACTTATGAACTGAATTCCATGTCATGACCTTTACATTGTAGGCTACTATCAGGCACAGATGACCTCAAGCACATAATTCTAGCAGAAAGCCTAGAATTAAAGAGTAAGAACAAATTTCAGAGAGAAGTAAAACAGTCTATCCATAATAAAAAAAAGGCCAGTAGAGATTTTTTTCCACAAGGACAAAAACCACTTACACTCATGACTTAATGTCCTAATTTGATAAATCGATGACAAACTAAATTAAAATTTATTTTAAACTCTAGGTTTACTTGTGTTTCCATTGTTTCTCTAATGCAAAATGTGCATTGAACAACACAAATCTTAATGTAACATTTCCACCAGACAACTTGGTCTACCAAACCAGGAATGACCCAATCTTAGGTCGAAGCCAAATGAGTTTTAAATGCCAGCATTTTCCAGTTATACTTTGATATAGAAGACTTAAAGTTCTTCAAAACAACACCATGAATTTAAGTACACAGTACAATCAATGAAGAAAAGAATACCCCCCTTTTAATATCCATTACTTCATTATTTTTGTTGTGTTGTTGAAAAACAAAACAAAAATCAGGCTTCTTTTTGGATTGCAGGGGTCCATAAACTCAAGTCATTAAAAAAAATTCTACTCATTAAGGAACTGTCTTGGACCATACTCTTAGTCAACTCATTTATCTTCTTAAATCTCTCATTTTATCTTAATTTATGTCTTAGGATTCAAGCTATAGATTTAAGCAGATGCATGAGTAAATTGAAATACAGTAATTACACAATGCCTAAGCTCTTCATTTCTCTATAAAGTGATAACAGTTAATTTTGTACACAGAAAAGTAACGCCTAGATACTAGTTTTAAAATGAATTTTAAAACAAGAAATCTCACTCATGTATCTCCAACAAATATCTACCTGGCATTTTGCCAACATATTAATCCCCAGAGCAAAAGAAAACAGTGCTCCAATTAGACTCTTCAACGTATTCTTTCAAATCATATAAAAAGCACAATTCTAGATGATCGTATTTAATCTTGATGTTACCTTAACTGGCCACTCGCTTTTTTTTCCTCATATGTTTGAAAAATGCCACCAGAATAATAACAATAACTTCCCATACTCATGGACTGCGCTCTCTATCTGCTATATGGTGTTTTTATTCTAAGTAACTAATGGTGCTGGGGAATCAATGTAGGCCTTAAGCATGCTGGGCATGTGCTCTGCCTCTGAGTTACACCACCAGATACTGCTATTAGTTCCTTTAAAAAACCTCTTGAGCAACACTGGGTATAACTCATGCAGAACTCAGCATGAAGGAAGTTTATTTGGAATTTTGGCAAGTGCCATAACACTTTCTGTATCTCTCCATTGTCTTCCATTTGTTGGAAGACTTAAGTAGAAGCAAAACCTTCATGATAAAATAAGCCATCATGTGATCCAACATTTTATACATCTGAGCATCAGGATATGTTTCCTTGTTATCTTGCATGTAGATGTAGAACATTACCCCTTTTACTTTATATAAAAATATTACTTGAAAGGTCTAGTAACAGCAGAATCCTAAAGGGTTAAAGTATAATACTGAAAAAACTATATATATGTATATATATATATATGTATTCTTATAAGAGTTTCATCCTTGGGGCTGGGAATAAAATTTAAATTACTGAAGGGTATTTTCTATTGCCTTTTCAGATCTTTGTATTGACAATATCTTGCACTAAATGCTTTATGTGCTATACAGGGATTTAAATATTATAAAATTCAGGTAACCATACCAACGCTACAGGGAAGATCATGCTTGATCTTTTGAAAAAGTTGCCCGAAATGGTCCATTTAATCACAACTTTCCTTTTTCTCTGCGATGATACACCAGTTGCCATGATCATTCCCAGAGCTCAGAATACTGAGCTCCCTTGCGTTCTCCAGCAGCAGGTCAGAAAGCTCACCCTCTCGAAACACATGGTAGTAGCGCATAAAGGCCTTGGAATCCAACAGGTCAGGCTGTTCATCAATGGGTACTGGGCCATCTGGGTTGGAATCTGTGGAGCTGACTGCAGAAATCCTTTTCAATATTTGACTGGCAGAAGGGACACTTCCTTCTAAGTTCCCTGCATCCATACAATTCTCACTGTAAGTGTTGGTTAGAAAATCTCCCCCTCCATTTCGCTTACTTTCTCCTCCATGGTCTCCCTGGAAGTGCATCGGAGTGCTTGGTGCTCTCGGCCACGCCACCAGTTTTTGAGAAGAATTCTCCACAAACACTTCCTCATCCAAGTTTGGCCCTTTGGCTGGAAATGGCTCTCGGGGATCCAAATCTAAACTTGAGTGCCTAGAAGGCTGGATAGATATAGTATTCCTGGTCCAGCCATCTGCTGTTCTCAATGGTCTCCCTCTTTCAACCTGCTTCCTCAGAGTCGATTCATCCAAAGACCTGGAGAAAAACCAGGAACGGAAAGACTTTCCTAATGTGTTATAGAAGCCATTTTCCTGCTCCCCTTCCTTTGATGTATTTCCACAGCAGGCTCTGGAGATGACAGACCCATAGTCCATGCTGTGGGATCGTTTGGAGTCACAGCGCTCCTTGAAACAAACAGAACATGTACCCTCAGGATGGCAGGCCTGGCTGCTTTCTGGATGTCCACACTGCTGATTTTTCCCAGACGGTCTGGATTCTGAGAAGAGCCGGGAACAGAAGGCCCTATTCCATGGAACAAGCACGTCTTGCTTTTCAAAGTGGCGATTCTTTTGTTCCATTGCCCAGACATAAATCATCAGCTGACCTCCTGGGACTAAGACCCTGGCCATTTCTTTGATTGCTCTGATTCTTCTTTGTTTTGTGGAAAAATGATGTATGACTGCAAAAAAAAAAAGAAAGAAAGAAACTAGATCTCAATGTGTATACACACACAGAAACACACACATTTATATACTAGTGTTTCATGGATCAATGATGAATTTTATTTTATTTATTTATTTATTTTTTTGTCCATTGTGGGGCCTGAACTCTGGGCCTGGGTGCTATACCTCAGCTCTTCAGCTCAAGGTTAGCACTCTACCATTTGAACCACAGCACCACTTCTAGCCTTTTCTGCTTGTGTGGTGCTAAGGAATTGATCCTAGGGCCTCATGCCAAGTTAGCACTCTACCACTGAACTACTTTCCCAGCCCAACAATGATGAAATTTTGACAGAGCAAAACCTCCTTCTATACTGCCAGGCAGGTGGGAGGAACAACATAGGTTAACTTTTAGGAAAGAATACGATTTTTGGCTTCATTTTCCTTACTTATTAGACAGCTGTTCCTGGATAAATTATTTAAGTTGTATAAATTTTAAGTTTCTTGGTTATAGTAAGAAGCCTAGAATAAGTAATCTGTGAGGGCTTTCCCCATTCCAAACTCCTGTGAATCCTGTTAAACAAAAGGAAGACAAGCATGAATCACTAAAACTTGAAAGGGCTACTAAGGTCAGTATGTGTTCCCCAGTAGGATTTTATGAAAGAATTCGGTTTATGCACACATATGTAAATATCACAATGGAACCCTTATGTATAATTAAATTATGCTAATATAAAATTATGCTAATATAAAACCCACCAATTGGTGGGGTTTTTTGGGCAGTTATAGGACTTGAGCTCAGGGCCTGGATACTGTTTATAAGCTCTTTTGCTCAAGGTTAGTGCCCTGTGAGTTTGAGCTACAGCTCTACTTACAGTTTTTGAGTGGCAAATTGGAGATAAGAGTCTCACAGGACTTTTCTGCCCAGGCTGGCTTCAAACCAAGATCCTCAGATCTCAGCCTCCTGAGTACCTAGAAGCTAGGATTGTAAGCCTGAGCCATTAATGCCTGGCATAATTGGTGCTTTTTATAGAAACTAAAGATGAACATCACCAATCATTAGTATTAATAAAGCAAATAGAAGTAGAGGTAATGTTAAAAATTTTTTTTCTGATTAGATAATTAAAGAATGAGTCTGCAGAAGTTCAAATGATGATTTGTTTAAGTGTTAATATAATTGTGGTTTGTGTGTGTGTGTGTGTGTGTGTGTGTGTGTGCGCGCGCATGTATATGCTGGTCCTGGGACTTGAACTAAAGATGAAGGTGCTGTCCTTCATCTTTTTTAAGACTAGTGCTCTGCCACTTGAGTTTTACTTCAGGCTTTTCTTTTTATGGTTAATTGGATAAGAGTCTCAAGGACTTTTCTTGAACCATGATTCTAAGATCTCAGGCCCTTGCACAATGAGGATTACAGATCTGAGCCACCAGTGCCCAGCTGTAATTGTGTATATTAAAAAATATATTTATAGGTCATCATTTTACTTCAAATGTCTATAAAGTTGCAGTGAGATTCAAGTAAGACTGCTTTTACCTAGTTGTGTGTTTTTAGGTATGTATATAATTAAACATATATAATACTATATGATATATATTTATATAATTTTATTGATTTATTGCTCTGGGAATCAAACCTAGGGTCTTGTGCCTGCTAAGCAAATGCTCTACTACTGATCTACATCCCCTGCCTTGTTGGATATATTATTAATCCAACAGTGTATAGAAATGGCTAGTCTATTAGTTCCCAGAAGTTTAATTCCAGTACTGTGTCAAGAGAAAACATGAAATTGTTTGTCCAAACAGAGGCTACTACATATTTCAGGGAAGAAACTGGTCCCAAGCAAAACTGAGCAAATCTGGCTGTTTCAGAACAAGTGAAGAAGAGAATTCAACAGGAACGCTTTACATTACTATATATTAGGTTTGCATTCCTATCAACATTGTACAAACCATGCTATCTTTATTATGCAGCAGAGAGGGAAAGCTAGAGACAGGAAGGTAAGCAGGGATTGAAGAACAAGCCACCACTGGCATATTTGACCTCTGATTTATCAGGAATTAACCTTGTGATCTTTGACCAATCACTCCATCTTCCTAGGAAGATTGCAACCCCCGTTCATAGAATTCATGCATCGGTCACTGATCTAGATTAGGCATGAGGTGAGAATTGAGACAGAACCAACACAATGCTGATGTTCTATTATCAAGTGCTTTGAGGGTCATTAACTTGTTCTTAAACCACTCTAGAACAACATCTTTCTTTTTCTCCTCCTCCTCCTCCTCCTTCTTCTCCTTCTCCTTCTCTTTCTCCTCCTCCTCCTTGTTCTCTTTCTCCTCCTCTTCTTCCTTCTCCTTCTCTCCTTCTTCCTTTCCCCCATTTCTTCATCTGAGACAGAGACAATGTTATGCAGTCCAAACTAGTCTTGAACTCTCAACCATCTTGCCTGTTTCCTGCACATTAGACTTATATTCCTACCTTTCTTTAAAATCTAAGGACTATAAGCACACAACCCCAGGTCTGACTCTAGTTATATACTTTTCTGACTTTACCAGATTTCAGCTTCTTTAGGTGGGATAAGAAAATCCAAATATCTTTCAATGGAGACTGAAAGTACTATGTAATGTTGTCTAGTTCAACAACAACCCTTCTTTGTTATGGTTGAGTGCCCCTAAAATATAGACCCAAGCTTTATCCCCAAACAAGGAGGGTAATGATTTTAGGAGGCAGGAACAGATTTTCTACTGCACAAAGACACAGCAACAGGGGAGAAAGTAGCAGATGTCTGCAAGCCTTCTCAAGCATCTCACCCTCTTGATAAACTCAATCTTAGACTTTCCAGCCTCTAGAACCATGAGAAATAAATGTCTACTGCCCAATTCCCCCAGTCTGTGATTTTTGTTACAGCGGCCTGAAGAGATTAAGAATGCCTCTTACCATGCTTACAATGAAAACAGATGTCCTAGTTTAAAGTGCACAGAACTAAGATGTCATAAGGCAGGTTTCCATGAACACCAGTTCTTGCCAGTCCTAACCAATTCAAGGTTATGGCATCCAGGCCTGCACCTCTTCAGAAAGCAAATATATAATTCCCATCTCATTGAAAAAAATGTTCTCTCATCTATTTCACAAAAAACAATTCACATTATATATGAATAATAGTTTTATGTAAGATAACTTTGCTTTGGTAAAGCTTTGTATACTCAGAGTAGCTTCTTAAAGTAATTTGCTTTGCAAAAGTTTTTCTTCTGCTCAAGTATTTACCATAGGATTCCCTTAAATACAAATTTCCTACCTAACTTAAATAAGACTAACATAATAGGTATCCAGAATACATATATTGGGTAAAATAAGCCATGGGTGCATGGGTTTTTAGGGGGATACATGTGTGTTTTCCAGGCATACTTTTTTGAGAAATATGAGGAACACATTTCCTATACTCATGAACAGTCTCTGACCAAAAAAAAGGCAGCATAGCATTATAAGAAAAAGCACTCTTGTGTGGAACTGGTGGCTCATACCTGTAATCCTAGCCACTCAGGAGACTGAAACCTGAGGATTGTGGTTCAAGGCCAGCCAGGCAGGAAAGTCCATGAGACTCACAGCTCCAAATAATTACTACAAAGTCAGAAATAGAGCTGTGGCTCCAAGTGATGGCACACTAGCCTTAAACACAAAAGCTCAGGAACAGTTCCCAGGCCTTGAGTATAAGAACAGTATACATAAAAACAAACAGAAAACCAAAAACCCACACTGTACTCTAAAACTAGGTGTGATCCAAAGTGTTCCAGGAACTTGAGTGCCAGTGAGTGGCACACTGATCCAGGTGACAAGTTCATTACTTCTCGAATTCTCTGTTAGTGTAGGGTACGATAGTATCCTAGAAAAGTTAATATAATAGCTAAAACCTTCATGTTGAAAGATCAGATTTATTTAGTCTAACCAAGCACTATCTTCAGTGAGTAAGATTACTCTAGCACCGTTTTCCCCCCTTATAAATAAAAAGAATAGGAATGAATCATCAAAAAGAATACAATAACAGTTTGAAGGCTTAAATAAATTAAACAATCATTTACATCAAAAGAGCATTTGAGATTAGTCAAGTAACTCAAACAGCTGAAGTATTTTCTTTTTCTAGCATTAGATAAAACGAATCACATAGACCTGTTTACAACAGAATGGATGTTGAGTTAGGAGAGTGGTTTGAACCATGTAAGTTATTCTCGTATTCAAGTGTGAATGTGTGACTAACTGTCTTACCTCCTATGGAGATGACAGCATCGAAGCCCTGGTCCCTAAAGGGGAGATTAAGGTTGTCACATACCATGACTTCACTTCCTCCATTCCGGGCAATCTCTACCAAGGGCTTACAGTAGTCACAGCCCAGGATATGTACCTGGCTGTTTACTTTAAGATATTTTCCAGTTCCACAGCCTATAAGAGAAAAACATGTTATTCTTTATTATTTTTATTTTTGCCAAGTCCTGGGGCTTGAAGTCAGGGCCTGGGCACTGCCCCTGAGCTTTTTTTGCTAAAGGCTATCAGTCTACTATTTGAGCCACAGCTCCCTTTTCAACTTTTTGGTGGTTCATTGGAGATAAGAGTCTCAGTCTTTTTTGCCCAGGCTGGCTTCGAACTATGATCTGCAGATCTCAGTCTCCTGAGTAGCAAGCATTTCAGAATCTAGAACATGTTATTCTTAATGGAAGACAGAAAATAGTTTTGTCTTACAACAATCAATCTAAGTCTTATATTAAATAACCAAGACACTATACAACTGTGAAGGTATTCACAAAAGCAGAGGAAAAGCCTTCAGAAAATTCTATATATTTTTGTATATAAGGGAACAGAGAATAAGAAAAAGAAAGAATGTGATATATTCTATTTCATTGCTGGGGTTTGAACCAGGACCCTTCCATTTGAGTTACAACTCCTGCCTGAGATTATATAGTGAATCCTCACATACTTGCACAACTAAAACACACTAGCTAGTGCACTGAAAAGAATGACCTGGAACTAGGCACAGACATGTGACCACTTTGCTATCACAGATGTATTGCCTTGTGTATGACTGTGAGTTAAGCCTGCTGCTCTCCTAACATCTTCAAAGGTTCTGACCACTTGCTGATAAACTTCTGCCAATGACATTCCAATACTATAACTAATTTGTGCAATAAAATCTGTGTTTGTCCTAAAAGTTGATGCCTTTTAAGTTTTTAAAAAAAACTTGAATGTGAATGAAAATACAAAATCTCACATCTTTTAACCTTATCTACTGTGAGTGCTAACTTGTAAATGACATCTACTGACTCTGTTCTAATGAAGAACTTAACAAAAAGACTTTTTTTTCAAACCTCATAACTGACAAAAAAGACTATTTTTGACATTGTTGTCCAGTGGCAAAGAGCAAATTATTCAGGATTTGTACAACTCAAAGATTTAAATCAATAGATATAACTAAAAATGTGCTAAAGACTTCGTAACCTGATAAATAACCATCTTGAAACATCTAGCATCCCTATCTATGTCTTTCTGTCTGTCTGTCTGTCTGTCTATCTATCTATCTATCTATCATCATCATCATCATAATACCATGTGTGATGGCATGTTCCTGGAGTCACAACTACTTAGAGGCTGAAGCAGAAAGTTCACTTGAGCCCATGAATTTAAGACTAGCCTTGGCACCATGTTGATACCTCTCTCAAAAGAATATATATATGCATATATACATATATTCTATAATAGATATGGGATCTGATTCACTTCTACAATGTTTAAAAATCATTAGCACTAAAAAAAATCATGAGCACTGATATCTGTATTTACTGGCATGACTAACTTATAGATTTTTCTGAGAAAAATATCTACCAATATCCAAAGGTAATTGTTTGCTTCTAAAAGACATATGACAGTCTTTAGCAACTCATTCTTAATAGGTGTTTTTCAGAATCATGAGACACAAAACTGAAATGCCAGCTGAGACGATGAAGAGTTTATGGTGCAAGTCACTAATATGAATGTTCTCCCCAAAGTCTGTAGAAACAGCTGCATTTGGGGGTGGGGGTTGGTCATGGGGCTGGAACTCTGGGCCTGAGCACTGTCCCTGAGCTCTTCAGCTCAAAGCAAGCAATCTACCACTTGAGCCACAGTGCCACTTCCAGTTTTGGGGTGGTTAATTGGAGATAAGAGTCTCACAAAGACTTTTCTGCCGGGTTGGCTTTGAACCGGGATCCTCAGATCTCAGTCAGGATTACAGGTGTGAGCCACCGGAGCCCGGCAACAACTGCATTTTCAAAATTAGGAGAGCTTTGCTAAGATAAAACCTTTCTTGAAAGAGCATTCTCTGTTTCTATGGGGAAAGACATATATCATATATTTTATATACATTTCTTGACTACAAAGATGAGGAAATATATTTTAATCTGCAGACATGATGCTTGCTCTCTGCCTTCCTCCCCTCCCCCTCTAGTGGGTGTTCTAATTTTATTTCCACATTGAAGGAATGATCACTACCAAATGATTTAGCCTTAAAAAGTGGAATCTTAGTTATTGAGAAATTAATTTGTTGTATTATGTACACAAAGATAACGTTTTCAGCACAATTGAACATTCTGTCTGGGATCAGATGCATAGAGAATCTTAGCAAATAACATTCTAGGTCTGTACATTCTTCTAATTTCTAAACTGATTCCAAAGAAAGGCTTCAAAGCACCCAATGCCCTCCCTGAGACACCTAATGGATTTAAAATTGACAATCCCATTTCAGGTAAAGGTGGTGGTGTAATTGTACAGGTCACTGTTGACATCATTTTTCCTCTTTGAATCACTGTAGTTCTTTTTTTTTTCCTGCTACTTTTCCTGTCCCCTTAGTCCCTCATAAGGCTTGGTTTCCATCCTAAAGCCATTATCACATACCTCAGCAAATAAGCGTGACTGGAGCATGGCTGATATGTTTCATAGCATTTCAGACAACTGTAAGTTTCCTTACTAAATTAGTAAAACTGCCTAGAGAAGTCCTGTCTGGGTAACTAGAACCTGGTTACTTCTTGATATTTTTTACTCACTAGCATATTTTATTAGTAGTTAGCCATAATTCATTATAAACTGCTAAGCAGTCAAATGAAAAGTACAACTGTGATTTTAACTAAGCAGGCCACCTAGAAACATTTCCTTAGGGAGGTTTCATACTGGACTTACCTGACCAGTTTAGAAAAGCAAAACAACTATTCTCCAACAAATGTCCTCTAGGGAGAAAAGCTGTTTTTTCTCTTTTTCCTCTTGTTCTAGACTGGAAAGAAGCCTTTTTAACTGTCTTACTCTGTTCTCCTTGAAAACAACACCTTTTATTGGGGGGGGGTCCGGTTGTGAGGCCTGAACTCTGGGCCTGGGCGCTGTCCCTCAGCTCTTCAGCTCAAGGCTAGCGCTCTACTACTTGAGCCACAGCACCACTTCCGGCTTTTTTTTCTTTTTGCTTATGTGGCGCTGAGGAATCGAACCCAGGGCCTCAGGCATTCAAGGCAAGCGCTCTTCCACTGAGCCACCTTCCCAGCCCGAAAACAACACCTTTTGTACCTCAATTACCTATAGTGTTAGCTACTCCTCGGAAAAGGAACCGAAAAGATCAGTTTCTAATCAGCAAGTTTTCTTTAGCCCAATATCCAGTGGCCTACAGATGTCACCCAGTTAAAAGCAGACCATTGGAATATTAAAACTTCCCCAGCATCCTCCTACCTCATATGCTTTCTCTAAAGTCCTTATAAAATATGGTGCCTGCAACCCCTAGAGAGATGACCGTTTTTGGGACAAAAGTCCCCATTTTCCAACTTGCTGGCATGTTGCCAATAAGCTTCTTCCCTTTCTAATAAATCTGTCTCTATTTATTGGTTTTGTCACATGGTAGTGGAAATAGGCTAGTTACAATATTACTAATGTGTCTTTTTCTCTACCCATTCTTTTGGACTTTTTTTCCTTTTCATTTATTTTTAAATTTTAATCTTATTTTTAAAAAAGTATCCTGCCTTGGGCAGGAGTCAAGCATTGTTAGATTATTTTTAAATACTGTTGAGTTGCTTCTAGTATTAATGGTAAATCTATACTACAGTCTTTGATTATTTTGTTGTTGTTACTGTTGTTGTTCAGTACTGGGACTTGAACTCAGGGCCTGGGTGGTGTCCCTTAGCTTCCTGGTGCAAGACTAGTGCTCTACCTCTTGAGCCACTGCAGTTCTTCCAGCTTTTTTGGTGGTTATTTAGAGAAAAGAATCTCACAGACTTTCCTGCTTAGGCTGGCTTTCAGTCAGGATCCTCAGTCTCAGCCTTCTAAGTAGCTAGGATAACAGGTGTGAGACCAGCACTCAGCCTATTACACCCTTTGGATATAGTAAGATATAGGAGCTGAGGGAAGATCTGACTCCCTGATTGACACCTAGTTAGATTCTTCCTAGAGGCCCTAAGGGCCTTGATCAAAGGACTGTCAGATAGGCGGCTGGACTGTCCTCACTCTAGTAAAGGCTGCTTGAACACCTTGAGGACACTAAACACAACCCCAGCTTGTTACTGAAATACAACTTCAGCTGGCTGCTGAAGGTGCCGCCCCAGCAAACAGCTTACACTGTTCTTGTTGCCAGCACAAGCCTCAGTGAAGTTTAGAAGACTGAGACCACTTAAATCCAGGTCATAGGGAAGGCATTTCCTCTGATGGCCCAGCAGAAGGCCAGTGACTGATGCAAACACAGTCCTCATTTATATATTTATATATTGACTTATGTAAGGGAGTGTGCTCTGATTGGTGGCAACACAACTCTTCATTTGCATAAACTACCCTGATTGGTGCAGAGACCTTCATCATACCACCTTTCTGGCTGTATAGACAAGCTGTTTTGCTTATTTTGAGGATCAGCCAAAAGACATCTCTTTGGTGTTGCCACATTAGGCCTAATAAGGCTTCTCCCTACTGGTTTTCTTGTCTACTTTTGATTTTCCTCATTGAGCTGGTAATGCAAGGGGGGGGGCACGGGATGGGCAGCAGTGGTGGCAGGAGCAGCAAGAGCACCCAGACAGGAGGAGCAGAGGAGCTGGCATCAGCAGCTGATAGGTGCTGGCAGTGTCAGGAGAAGCAGCAGAACTGGCAGCAGAAGCTGAGACCATGGAGCTGGTGGTGGTGGGAACTGGAATGTGTTTGCTGTTGTCAAGCTCCATGGATCCCTTGACACCTAGGACATGGGAGTTGTAGCACTTGTTTCTGCAGGGCTAACACCAGAGCGTTTGAGGTACTGCTACTGGCTGTCATCTGCAGCACTGTTAAGGGTTAAAAAATAAAAATAAAAAAGACAACAAATGGGCCAAGAATTTAGGATCACTGGAAGTTTCTGCTCACCTATTCACCATTTCTTTCCAGGAAGAGGGGAGTTCCCAGTAGACTGACTGGGACTGCATGTCTCAGATTGAGCCCCAATTCCTGGGAGCAACATCTCTGCTTCTGTGAGTTCAAATCTTTTTAGATCTCACATATAAGTGAATCATATAGTATTTATGTTTTAACAGGCTGCTGGTATCTTGATTTTAAGTACCATTATATATTTAGCTAGGTTTTCGTTTTACAGAACTTTCTCCATTTTATTGAGCCAAAGTTATCAATACAGTCTATCCTCATTATGTATTTGCTATCAACCCTAAGTCGAAGTAACCCAAGTCTCAGTATTTGCATCTCATTCTGAGATGCCTGCACGTAGCATTCTTTTCTCAGCTCTCATGAATGTCAAGAAAAATAATCAAAGTGAAGCATTTGCTTCTGGGCAATGAAGTGAGTTGAGACCTTCTTATGGCAGATGTCAGGCTCATCACAGATGAACTTTTTTTTTTGGTCAATCTCAGGGCTTGAACTCTGGGTCTGGGCGCTGTCCCTGAGCTCTTCAGCTTAAGGCGAACACTCTACCACTTGAACCACAGCACCACTTCTGGCTTTCCAGTTGTAAGAGTCTCACGGGCTTTCTGATCTCAGCCTCCTGAGTAGCTAGGATTACAGGCATGGGCCAACAGATGAACTTTGAGCTGAACTGTCTGAGCACCAACCCAAATATATGATGACTTGGTGAGTGGCGTCAATTGCAGTTTTCTGGAACTGAGACTTAATCAGCCTTTGTAACAGTTTGTGGAAATATCCTCCCCTTTTGCCTTTCTAAACTGCCCAGAGATTGAGACTGAGCCCAATTCTTTTCTTACAAAGCCCTGAAACATCAGCCATAATCCTGACAAACAAATAGTGTAGTCAACACCCTCACTGTAGTTAAGCTATCAAAATAGCCATTGTTTTATGGAACAGAGCACACATTCTCAAAGCTACTTAAATGTACTGTCTCCTGGATTTCAGTCCCAATATGCATCCCAAAATACAGGTTTTTATTCTCAACTAGGTTGATTATAATATCAGTCAACACTGTAAAAAAACAAGTATTTTTTCACAATATATTTGGTGTCACTCTTTTTTGTTGTTGTTGTTGGTGGTGGTGGTGGTCGTGGGTGCTGAACTCTGGGCCTGGGTGCGGTTCCTCAACTCTTCAGCTCAAGGTTAGTACCCTACCACTTGAACCACAGCACCAGTTCTGGCTTTTTTCTGTTTCTGTGGTGCTGAAGAATCAAACCCAGGGCCTCATGCATGTGAGGCAAGCACTCTACCACTAGGCTACCTTCCCATCCCTCTTTTTTTTTTTATTGTGAAAATACTGTACAGAGGAGTTACAATTACATGGGCAAGATAGTGAGTACATTTCTTATCAAGCATTGTAGCCTCCTCCTTTGTTTACCCTTCCCATCCCTTCTCAGCCTCCCCCCATCCCTCTTTTTTTTGTTTGCATTTTTAGTGGTGATTTTGCTTTTTAAAATGGTCCTTAAGCATTTTAGCACCTGAACTAAAGGCAATGCTAAGGACAAAATACATGAATGATGAGCTAGCGTGAGTTACAGTGTGTTGGCTATGAGTTTAACATTAATAGGCAACAATACATAGCAAATAAGATGTCTTTAAACAGAAGCACAATGAAATAGGTTACATATTTATAGGTTGACAAAGACATATGACCAAACACAGAAACCTGTCCTATAATTCTCATTAGGATAATTACCTCATATATTGTTAATTCAATGTTTACAACCATTCTATAAATCACAGGTACAATGAGTGATGACAATAAGTTCTAGATTCTCTTAGGAGTCTCTGTGTGGGTTTGTGCACTAAATAAAGAGACCCTTGCTCTTAAGAATGTTTTAGAAATAACCAAATTTTCACATAGTCCTTCACTAATGTCATGTTCTTACAATTCAATCTTTGCTTCATTTGGAAGTTCTTTCTGTGTAAGATGTGACAAAAACTAGCTCTGTTATTCTATGTGCTTTTGTCCCCTAGCTATGTGTTGAGTTCTTTTTCTCTTTACTAGTTTAAGATACTGCTGCCTTAGATAGGTTATGAGGAGAAAGAGTTCACTGCATCTTCTTAAAGTCAGCTGCTGCCCCCTCCTAATTTTGTGGTGATAGGGACCAAACTGATAGCTCCTCTGAAGTATGTGCTTCCCCACTAAACCACACCTCCAAAGCCTAAAGCCAAGCTTATTTTTAGAATCTGGCATGATAAAGATATTTCTCAGACTCCTAATTTCAATGTGACATATATCACTCCAAACTTCCTCCCTGTTCATACCATTCCGAACAAATTAAAACTCTGGACTTCTCTTGACCTTTCTCTTTCTATCTTTCTCTTCTTCCCCTTCTTCTCCCCCCCACAAACACACCAGTATTAAGAGTGATGTCACACTAGGTTAGTTTTCACCTACAGACTTTTGATTCTTATGGGCACGGTCAAAATATAATTTGATGCAAAGCAGTTTTAGGGTAGGCATGCCTGAAAGGCAATCCAAATTTCCCCTAAATCTGAGTCTTAGATCTACTGAGCTAAAGTCCTCTAGACGAATGAATTATTATAAAATTTTTATCTAATTATGTTAAGGTTCTAATAGTGCAATGTCTGTATATAAGGGATGGAACCCATGGGATTAGTAAGAGGAGGATATAGGACTTCTTCCACAATCCCAAATTATGGCTTCCATTTAGATTGCAGGAGGACCATTCAAAGTGACCCACCGGTACAAAACTATCAGTGTCACGGTCATTTCTATCCTGACTTAATCAATGTTAGATCAGCTTTGGTGGAAGATGTGCACAAAAATCTAGAAGAGATCCTCACTGTCTGAATGTAGGTGTGAGGATGTTCTTGGCCAGGTGATTTGAGGCTATACATTTCTTCTATAAAGTGAATAGTCTAAATGCCAAGGACACAATTTCGGACTTCTTGTTAAGAGAGCTAGAGAGAGAGAGAGAGAGAGGTGTAGAAAGAGGATATTTCATTTCATTTTTGCCACCTATGGCAAAAGCTTGGCTTACCAATGTCAGCGACGAGGCTGCCTGGCTTCTGGTCTTGGAGAAACTGGCGGACTCGTGGCCAGGCTTTGCTCTGCAGATCACTAAAATACGGGGCTGTGCTCTCATATACATCATGTACATGCTGCTTCTCCAGCCTAGCAGCTTCAGGATCCATCCTGGGGAAGGTAGACCAACCCAAGGCAAGTAGGTCACAGAATGCACCAGATCTGGCTGCAGGGGGCACAGACTTCTTAAAGTTGGCCCTACAGCTTGTGTTATTCTTACGTGTTTTTTTAAGTCCACAACAGAACCTCACTGTTAGCCCACTGACTGCCAAAAGACTTACAAATACAGAGTTGTTATCTGCTAATCTTCAGCAAAGATTATGGTTTAAGAATAGCCCTAAATCGTCTTAACTTTCTAGACAAGATCAATTCTTTATTTTGGAAGCACAGCCATTATTCTTACCAAATGTCTCTCCTTGGAGAAAACTGTTCTATCTGATCGGTACAGTCTGACATATTTCTACTTAAGTTGAAACAGTTAATACGATACTCTCAACTGGAACTTACAAAGCAGACATATGGTTAGCTGTCCATTTTAAACAGTCAAACACTGCATGCTTTTCTTTTAAGCCAAAATCTCAGTAGACTGAAGTGTTTAAATATCCTTCCCAAGGAATCAGTCAGGCAATATAATTCAGAGAACCCTGCAACAAATACATTTTTACTTTATTGTACTTGCAGTATGACATTTTTGAAACTCTGTAGGTTTAAATTTCCTACAACAGGGGCTGGGAAGGTGGCTCAGTGGTAGAGGGCTTGCCTTGCATGCATGAGGCACTGGGTTCGATTCCTCAGCATCACATGAGCAGAAAAAGCCACAAATGGTGCTGTGGCTCAAGCGGTAGAACGCTAACCTTGAGCTGAGGGACAGTACCCAGGCCCAGAGTTCTGGCCCCATGACTGGAGAAAAAAATTAAAAAAAATTCCTATAACATTTCATGCGTACTATAGAAACAAATTCCTTATGTGTTCGGTAGCCAGATTAATCTTATAAAACTACTACTAACAAAATGGCGACACAAGGCGAGAGGGAAATTATCCAGGCTGCTATCAAAGTATAGGCTTGTAAAATACTCTGGATTTTTAAAAAAGGTCAGCAGTCAAAGCCTCATATTGTGTTTCTCCCTTGACATCTAAAACGCACACAACATATCACTGTTTTGAGAAATTCTACAGAAGTCTCATATGACTTTGTTTTTGAGACAGGATGTCATTGTATAGATTAGGCTGGCCTTGTAGTATCCAAGGACTCTTGATCTTCCAGTCTCTAAGTGGAATTATAGGCATTCACCACCCTTCTTGTTTGTCTATTTTCTCCTTCCTTCCTGTTCCTTTCCTTTCCTTTTCTTCCTTTCTCCCTTCATCTTCTTTTCATTTTTCTTTCTTCCTGCTCCTTTTCTTCTTCCTTCCTTCCTTCTTTCCTATTCTGGGGTTTGAACTCAAGGCCTGTGCACTCTCCCTGAACTATTTGCACAAGGCTAGCACTTTACCACTTGAGCCACAGCTCTACTTCCAGTTTTGGGGGGAATTAATTGGAAATAAGAGTCTCATGAACTTTCCTGCCAGGGATAGCTTGGAACCATGATCCTCAAATCTTAGACTCCTGAGTAGATAGAATTATAGGTATGAGCCACCAACACCAACTAATTTTCTAAGTTTGTTTTTCCTAAAAGTCATTGGGCCTATGACAATCTTTTCTTTCTTTAATACCATTTGCTTTCCCAGAAAATACTATTCTACATTAGACATATTTGAAATTTTTACTTTAATGATCTCTACTCAAGAAACTCTCCAAAACAAAAGAGTATTTTCTCTGAGTATCCTGTTGATGCAAATGAAAAGTACAAGATGACTAGAAAGATGGAAACATAACAGAGTTGCTCGTTGCTGATTATCTGAAAGGAGCTGCTTTGGGGCCCCTTGCTTACATGCCAGCAACCCTGGCTGAACCCAGGGTGAAAACTGGGGCAACAAAGAACCAGTCCACAGCTAGCCCTTATAACCTTGAACATCTCAACCAAGTGACTTAAAGCACAGATAACTGCAGGTAGCTGGGTGCAGTCACTTGGAGTTTGTGCTTGGGAGCCCATTTTAGGCCATGCACATATAGGTGAAGCAAGAGAAAATAGTTCTGCAAGATGAAAATAGCAATTGGGGAGAAAAGCATGAAAGACTGTGTTGTTCCATAAAACCATGAAAGTGGGAAAGACAAAGGTGCTTGTTGCTCTGTGTGGATTAGACAGAGCATCAGACTCAGTCAACTCTAAGAAATCCACTCATTTGACAGTACTGGCCTTAGTTATGATATACTTCATTTTCTAACCTTGAATCTCAGTTGCATTTTTTTTAGCTTTAACATATTCTTCACTTGAACTCTTTCTGTTTCTCAAAACCACATCCTTCTAGATGCAGGCAAATTGCTTCTTTCAGAAAAGAACATTTTGAAACAATTATTTTACACTCCAATTAATTAGTGCTCAAGAGTGCAGACATACAGCATTTTTACCTTTATTGCCACTAGTCAAGCAGTCTATAACACTTAAGATGTAACCTTGAAACAAGTAAGAATTAAATGCTACCAATCCAAAGCAATTGTAAATACAAACAAAATTAAGCAGAGAAAAAAGCAACTAATTTTTCAGGAGAGACTGTGCTCATGAAAGGGAGACCCACGACATTAAATTATCTGTTTGCTTTCTGCTCACAAGCATGAAGCCAGGCATTGGTGGCTCATATCCCTAATCCAAGCTACCTAGGAGGACTGCAGTTCAAAGTCAGTCTAGGCAGAAAAGTCTGTGAGATTCCATCACCAATTATCCATCCAAATATCAGAAAAGCGACATGGTTCAAGTGGTAGAGTGCCAGATGCAAAAAAGAAGTCTTAGCAAGAGTGCAAGGTTTAGCTCCATTAGCATCGTAAAGAAAAGAATGGAAAAAAGAGAGAAAAAGAAAAAGAAAGAAAACCAGGCATGTGAAAAATGAGAGATAATAGCTAGTTTAAATGTACTAAGGCATAAATTTGCTTGAGGAATGATAGCCCAGGCATGCCTTACTAGTGAGTCATGGGAGAAGGAAAAATAATGTGTAAGGTAGGAGGGGGGAGAGAGGGAGAGGGAGATAGGGAACACGAAAGAGAGAGAGAAGTCATGTCAGGTATGCATTAAAAATCAGAAAAGCTAGTCTGGATTTTATACTAAGTGCCAGGGGAAGGTGGCTTTAAGTTGGTGGGCATGGGGCAGGCAACATGATTGAATTTACAATGAAAATTGTTGATCTAGGCATATAGAGCTCTAAGTAGATAATGTATATATTGTTTTAATTTGTACAACTCAGTTCAAGGCTCACCATTCCCCCGCCCCCAGTGAACATTTACATCTTAGGTTCCCCAAATGGGCATGTGAGTCAAGCTCGCTGTTCATGCATGGTATCGCTCATTGCTGGACAGTCATCTGTCAAGGATGGGCAGGTGATGGAAGCTGAGCTCAGCAGAGTCCTCTGAGACATCTCAGTGTGATAAACAAGACACGGCAACACAGAGCTGGAAAGAGGTAAAGGCCAACTGTTGGCAGCATCATGCCTACCAGATGGAAAGGACCTGAGTCCAGGTACACAGAATGCGACCAGGCAAAGCCAGCAGGGGTGAGAGAGAAAAGGAGAGAAAAATGAGCAGCTAGGATACTTGTAAACAACCTTTTAGACACAGAACAATAAATGAATAATCGAACAACAAACTCCATCTCATTGAGCAATAGTTCTTTTTGAATTCTATTTTCAACAGTTTAGTGTAATTATGATCAACATGTTACAACCTACTCATAATTGAAGTGCAGATGTTTGGACATATGTAGACACCCAGGAAATCACCAATTCCATAAAAACAATGAACATATTCATCACCCCAGACCTTCCTCCTGTCCCCATCTGTCTTCACCCTGAGCAATTTTTCCTAATGCAACACTTCTGGTCAAAGACAGAAAGGTGGGTGTACAGGCTGGGAAGGTGGCTTAGTGGTAGAGTGCTTGCCTAGCATACATGAAGCCCTGGGTTTGATTCCTTAGTACCACATAAACAGAAAAAGCCAAAAGTGGTACTGTGGCCCAAGCAATAGAGTGCTAGCCTTGAGCAAAAAAAGAAGCTCAAGGACAGTGCTCAAGCCTTGAGTTCAAGCCCCAGGTCTAACAAAAAGAAAAAAGAAGGAAAGAAAGAAAGAAAGGAAGGAAGGAAGGAAAGAAGGAAGGAAGGAAGGAAGGAAGGAAGGAAGGAAGGAAGGAAGGAAGGAAAGGTGTACATTGTGACCATTCAGACATTCAACAGTTACAATTTTACAGGCAACTTTGAATGTATGGCGTGCCTACAAATTAAATAAAATGAAAAATGAGGTCTTTTTCCAGGTCTATAATGCCCTAATGATTGTTGTGAAGTACACACATACTCACATACATGTGTGAGGAGTAAAGATATTCAGAGGAGCTATAAAAGCTCCCAGGGGAAGTTTTGCTACTGTGTCATCAAGGTGAGGAGACACTGCATTTGATCCACAGAGATATAAGGAACTCCAAGAAGGCTTTGATTTGTCCCCAAGGGTACCCTCTGTCCCCCAGAAATAATATAGCCTTCATTTCATTCCTGGTTTGCTGATGATAATTTGTCATTTTCCCTCCATAAATCCATTAACAACAGCCAAGAACCTCTAGTTCTTGCTAGTGCATAAATATACTTTTAATATATACTTTAAAAATATACTGTTAAATATACTCCCTGTTGGAAAGTTTTAGCAGGTCTTCTGCTGCCTAAAGGATAAATTTAGGTTCTTCAAAGGTCTTAGATTCTTCCAAAGGTCAGCTTGACTTTTCCAGCTTTATACACTGTGGTCTCCATAACTGTAATAATCTCAGAGACACTCAAAGAACTCTCTGCTCTGGTGTGGATGTGGTTGGAGTGTGCCACCCAAGGCTCATAGGCTGGAAATTTGGTCTCAGTGTGGTGAGCAACATTGAAGTGGTGAGGCAGGAACTTTATGTACCTTGCTTGGTAGTTAGTTCACGGACATCACCCTTGAGAGGAATAAATGAGTTAGTTCTTGCAAGAGTTGTTATAAAAAGAATAAGCATGACCCTTCTATTCCTCCGGCTTCCTGCCTTCCCATGTGACTGTGACTGTCTTCCCCTCATGTGCAGGCTCCTGTCATAGGCTGTTTGCTATGTGGTGATTCATCCAGGCAGGCTGTCAGCAGGGGTCAAACTAATAGAGCTACTCAATCCAAAAATACGACCTAAATAAATTCTTCCTTATACACTTCTAGCCTCTGGTACTTTTTGTTTTGTTTTGTTTTTTAATCAGTCATGGGGCTTGAACTCAGGGCCTGGGCACTGTCCCTCAGCTCTCTCTCTCTCTCTCTCTCTCTTTTTGTCAGTCATGGGACCTGAACTCTGGGCCTGAGCAATGTCCCTCAGCTCTTCAGTTCAAGGCAAGTGCTCTACCACTTGAGCTACAGTACCATTTCCAGCTTTTTCTGCTTATGTGGTACTAAGGAATTAGACCTAGGGCCTCATACATGCAAGGCAAGCATTCTACCATGGAGTCACCTTCTCATCCCCCACTGAGCTCTTTTTACTCAAGGCTAGTGCTCTACTACTTAAAGCCACAGCTTTGCTTTTGGTTTTTGAGTGGTTAATTGGAGATTAACAGGGACTTTCCTTCCCCAGGCTAGTTTTGAACCATGATCCTTGAATCTTAGCCTTTTGAGTAGCTAGGATTACAATTGTTAATTACCAACACCAGGATCACATGGAAGAGAAAGACAGAGAGAGAGAGAGAGAGAGAGAGGAGGGAGGAAGAGAGAGAGAGAGTGTGTGTGTGTGTGTGTGTGTGTGTGTGTACTAGGACTTGAACTCAGGGCCTTGAATTCTTGCTTGCTTTTTCACTCAAAGCTATTCCTCGCTTCTGGCTTTTTGGTGATTAACTGGAGAGATTGAGTCTCTTTGCCAGACGTCAGTGGCTCACACCTGTAATCCTAGCTACTCGGGAGGCTAAGATCTGTGGATCACGGTTCAAAGCCAGCCCGGACAGGAAACTCCGTGAGACTCTTATCTTCAGTAAACCACTAGAAAACCGGAAGTGGTGCTGTGGCTCAAGCAGTAGAACACTCTCCTTGAGCTGAAGAGAGCAGGGAAAGTGCCCAGGCCCAGAGTTCAAGCCCCATGACCGACAGAAAAAAAAAAAAGAGTCTCTTCAATTTGTCTATTGGTCTGGTTTTAGATTGTGATCCTCATATCTTAGCTTCCTAAGTAGCTAGGATTTCAGGTATGAGCCACCAGTGCCAGTCTCTGGCCCCAGGTATTTTGTAGAGCAACAGAAAATAGAATAACATGTTTACTCATTTCTTTCCTGTGGATATTGGACAAAGTTCCTTAGTTCTTTGGCAAAGGCAGCAATCTGTTCTTTGTCATCTGCAATGTCCTCTTATTGTCCTCTAGCAAAATCTATGTGGCCTTCACAGGTTAGTACTGCATTGTCCTCCTCCAAAAAGGCTTCATGAATAACTATAGATAGAAATAACTGTTCCCAGTGCTTCTATACATTGAAAATTGCTCATCTCCAGCACTCTTAGGTCATTTCTCCGAATATCATTGTGCACTTCCACTTCTGTATATACTCTCAACTAGAGTATAAGCCCTGGGAGAATAGGTAGTGAAATTTGATATTTGAATCTGTCTGTGTATCTCTCTCTCTCTCTCTCTCTCTCTCTCTATCTACCTATCTATGTGATCCATATGCACATGTGATATATATTATACTGCTGAAGACTGAGCATTATTCAGTGATTAACTGAGTAAGCAAAAGTATCAATGGGCTATTTCTTTAACTCCTTCTTGAAGACAGCAGTATTTTACTAGACAAGCTGGTCCTCAACTCTTCAGTCATAAATTGTGAACACTGCTATGAAACCAGTTGGCACTCAGAGAAATGCAAGGCTATGACTGAGTTCCCCTGGCTATGTCTTATGTTTATGCTCTCCTTTCCTAGTAGAGGCCTATTTTATAGACATACCCTAGGCAATAAATGTCACATTTTTATACAATAGGGCACACATATTATAAATTGCTCTTCTTTTGTAAATGTAACAAAAGACACAATATTTTTAAAAAGATATTGTATAAAACTCTATTTCAAAGATATGCCCAATCTGTAATTCCAAGGTGAAAATAAAAGTTGATTATTATAAGACTTTATTGTAAGACTAAATTGTAAAGTAGCCTTTGTGGAAACAAGAGAAGATGGGAAGGATGAATATGTTTAAAGTATTGTTACATCACATATCAAAATGTCATAATGAAAGCTCATTATTTATACAATTATAATACACCAATTTTAAAGACTAGCTAGCTTTGTGCTTCTTAGAACCTGGCACTTCAAACTTATCTACACATTATTCTGAAAAACCATTGTTTAAAAATGAGTTTATACCTTAGAAAAGCATCTTAAAATACTAAATGCAATTGTATGTTTTTTACTTATCTTGTGCAATGATTTGCAAATAATTTATCTACCTGGTGCAAAGAAAACAAATTCCAACTTTATATTACACTGTCATAAATGACAAATTTTAGGAATTGGGACTAATTAGGTTTAGTAGATCATATTGCCAAAAACTCTTCGTGTATTTAGATTGCAGAAATAGCTGAAAGCTACTAACCTGAGTCATCTTGTGATTACATGAAAATTACTTCTTGTCTTTGTAAATCATGGCAGCTTCCACCCTCAGAGAGTGACAGTTATTTCTCACGATTCCTAGTGTGTACTGTCAATGAGAAGTAGGAGTGAAATCAAATAGCACCATCCTTCATATGACGAACACTCTGTAGGAATCTTTGAAGGGAATTCAGGCCCTAGAAGGAAATAAAAACAAATACTAAATGTCATGTTACATCAAAAAAGAAATACTGAATCTGCCACAGCCAGGGTGACCTCCTGAACTGCACATAAATTACCCAAAAAGGAAGGACTAGAAGAACAGTTAAGATGTGGAATGGATCAAAATTCCAATAGTGATTTATAAATCAATTCTTATGATTTCAGTAAAGCACACAATTCCTTCTCCTCAAATTACATTGAATGGTTTCACCTTGTTCCTGGAAAAATTATAAGCATGGCTTAATTAAGTGTATATGATTGAAGACAGTATTACTAAATTAAATTAATGCATGTGATATGGGTGGACTCTTCAATATTCAGATTATCACTACATGTTACATTTTTTTCTTTTTCATTTTATCATGAAATGAATTTTAAAAAATGTATCTCGAACTTCTAGAGGCTCACACCTATAATCCTGGCTACTCAGGAGGCTGAGATCTGAGGATTGCAGTTTGAAGCCAGCCCAGGCAGGAAAGTCAGTTGAGACTCTGATCTCCAATTAACCACCAGAAAACCAGAAGTAGCACTGTGGCTCAAGTGGTAGAGCGCTAGCCTTGAGCTGAAGAGCTCATGGACAGCACCCAGACCCAGAGTTCAAGCCCCACGACTGTCAAAAACAAAACAAAACACACAAAAAACCTTCTAGAGCAGTGTATGGAAGGAAAAGCATTCCCAAAGGGGTTGACAACTAAACGGAAGCTCAGAAAATGAGTAAGATCACTGCTAAAGATGATGATCATAGGCACAGGAATCAGCATATACAAAAGCAAGAAATGCAATCAATGATAACCTCTTTGATGAGCTTCAAGTGAACTAATAATCATAATTACTTACTATGGGCCAGGCCCTGTTGGAAGCCTTTACCATATATTAAGTAGCTGAATTTTTCCAAAAACTATATGAAAGAGGAACCATCATTTCTCCCATTTTGCAGAAAGGGAAGCAGAAGCCCAGAGAACATAGTGAACAATGAACACAGCTAGTGAATGGCAGAGTCTGGATCTGAACACCTTGACTCCAGAGTTCCCAGCCCTCCTCCTCTCTAACTGGTGGGGAGGAAAAGAGGGAGATAGTAAAAGAAAGTCTGTAATACTAGTGGTAGTCAGATAATGCAGTCTTGGTTTGCCATTCTAAGGTGCCCAGTTCTTCTTTTGAATACAGTGGGGATCTACTGAATTGTTTTAACAATGAGCAATGGCAAAGTATGACTTGGGTTTTAGAAATCTCTTCTGGCAATAGGATAGCTGAGCATTGCCTGGATGGGTCCAGGTGGAAACAGAGAAACACATTAGACAAAGAATGGAATCCAGGATCCTAAGGAAGGGGCAAATACCAGGGACACTGAGGAGACACCCAAATTGATAGGATATGGTAACCAACAATGAAGAATTTAGGAAACAAACAGGCTGAAGATGAAGTTGTGGTAATAATAGGGCTGACAGTAACTGTTACCACCACCATACTAAAGTAAAGTAGAAGACAGAATGTGCAAGATAAACAGATGAAAAGTTTGGTAGCCATCATATCAAAACTGTCGGGTGCTGGTGGTTCACACCTGTAATCCTAGCTACCCAGGAGGCTGAGATCTGAGGATCAAGGTTCAAAGTTTGGGCAGGAAAGTCTGTGAGAATCTTATGTCCAATTAGTCACAAAAGAGCCAGAAAGCAGAGCTGTCCCTCAAGTGATAGAGCACTAGCCTTGAGCACAGAAACTCAAGGATAGTGCCCAGGACTTGAGTTCAAGCTGTAGAACCAACATACACACACACACACACACACACACACACACACACAAAAGAGAAACAAAACAAAACAGATAAGCCCTTATTTCAAAATATCTGTGAACATATAAAAAAAACCTGTATTTACAGATTTCTGCCACTGCAGGAGATAGGATAAAAAGGAAATACAAATTAACAGTTTTTCAGATGCTTAGGTGATTGGCAACACATTATGCTTTATATTGGGATATAAGTTATTTGCAAATATTTTTATGTTTTGTGATTGACTGCAACAACTTTCAGATAGGAACAATGTCTCTTATGAGCGCCACCATCTTTATTTGGCATTGTAACATATATATTCAATGAACTATCAGATAACTAGGTGAAGAAAAGAAAGGGAAGAAGAAAGCAATGACAATGGGACTGATCATCATGGAGAACACAGAGGAGGTGAGGGCTCAGGTTTGGATATGTTTGTGTAGTATTTGAAGGACACATAAATAAGAGCACCCTGAGAACAGACTGGATCAGAGATCACACAAAAATCATCACCCTAGCACTTGGTGGTTATGCTATCATAATTAAAGTGGATTCAAATATTGACTGTGGCACCCTACAACATCCTTTCATTGGAAACTGTAAGGAGAGCACAAGAAGAGGGAAATGGGATTCCCCACTATCTAGACTCCAGCCTAATAGAGAGTAATACAGAATAAAGTCAGAGAGATAATAGGAGAGAGCAAGCATGTAACCAATGGACAGAAAAGGGCAGATAGCAAGCAATATTCCCTTTGGCAGTTTGAAGTCACACTTTGTGATTCCTAAATAATGAGACTAGTAAAACAGGCCCATTAATATTCTCCATTCTACACAGAACTCCTCAATGATCTGCCAGGGAGATCACAGTGGAAATGAACAGGAAGAGAACAACTGGCATTCGTAATTGAAATCCTATGAGCAAAACAAACTCAGGACTTCAAAGCAACAGAGCACTGAGCGAATGGCTCTGAGAATTCCATGGCTCTGAGAGACACTGTAAGTAAACAATATTGTAAACAATTGTGTGAACAATATGTGGAAAGAAAATAGACAACAAGAGGGAGCAGATTTTTTTTAAGGGAGAGAGACTTAATACACCCTAAGATCAGTTTGCTTTTCTTGAAAAATTTCACAAATGTATTTCATGCAGGAGAAGGATATGATCCCCCAAATTGAAATGGATCTGATACTATGTGGATGGGAAACTGAGTGTGTGTGTGTGTGTATGTGTGTGTATGTGTGTCTGCACATGCCCATACGCGTGTGCATGTCTGTTTTTAAAGAAGAATGACATAAAAATAAAAATAAACAAACCCCGCAACGTAATATTGATCACCGGTTCACTACCAGTATCCTACACAGGCAATCACTAGGCTGTTTTTGTTGTAACTGTATGTCATGTTGATTCGGTAGTAGAGAGGATGTTAAAAAACCATGAAAATCAAATATGAGATTTAAGGAAATGAAAATACAGCACCTGGCTTCCCCTAGGCATTCGCTGCTGGTGTCAATTTAACAAAACTAGTTCTACGTCTGTGATGAGATAAAAGGAATAGGATATCTGAGCAGATGCTAGCAAGGAGAACACTCTGACATTCTAAAAGGCAATATCAGAGGAGGAGCAAAACATTCATTATCCCTCCACTTTCCTCTCAGGAAGGACAGCGAAGGATAGGGGGAGGAATCCCCTAGTCATTGTGCCAGCAAACAGCTGTTCCAGAATGGGCTTTTCAGAAAAGGTCACTGTGCTCAACGAAACTATAAACGGAGTAATGATTTACTAAGGAAGAAATTAAGGAGGAAATATGAAGATGAATGATACCTTAGTGTCTTTCATAAAATATATTTGTATGCTGAGTGTTGGTGGCTCACACCTGTAATCCTAGCTACTTAGGAGGCTGAAATCTGAGGTTTAAGATTTTAAGCCAGCCTGGCTGAACAAATCCAAGAGACTCTTATCTCAAATTAACCAGAAAAAAAAACAAAAGTAGAGTATTGCTCAAGTGGTAGAACAAAAAAAAACCCAAGTGAGAGCCCGAGGCTCTGAGTAGTATTGGCATGAAATATATAAATAAATATAAATATGTAATACATATACATTTATATTTACTGATCCCAAGATAGACACTGCAGATATTTGTTGCTGAAAGAAATAGCCTGATGATGTATTTGAGATTCAGGAAGAGGCCACATGTGCACAAAGTGTAAATGTGGACAGTCTGGTATATCATCCAATGGTGTTATAGTATGATTTGTTCCTCTTCTGTGTCTCTCCTTCTTCTATTTACTTCCTCAGCCTGGGGTCTTGTTCTTATTTTTGTGTGTTTTACAATACAGAAAGAAAAACACCAAAGGTGCAGAATAAGAAAGAATAGCTCTCTTCATCTTCATTTGAAAGCTAGGATAGATCGATGGTGAGAGATGATAGATGTTAGATGATAGATAGATGATAGATAGATAGATAGAATCAGATTAGATGAATGTAGATGGTTTAAAGCCCGTCAGAATTGCACAGACAAAGGGACAAGTTGGAAGGCCATGATTTCAAAGGAGAACCCTTTAAAACTAAATAAAGTTTAGCTTTATGAAAACTGATCACACTATAAATTGATGAAAGCATTGTCACAAAACAATACAAGAATAAAGAAGTAAGTCTGAGGAAGAATATTACTATTGTGATCTTCAAATACCCTAGGCTTCCTGCCTTCTTCACAGCTCCAGGTCCTGATGTTCATTCATCTTCTGCCTCACCATCCTGAAGATCCTCCCCTCGCTTTCAAGAATCTCCCAAGTATCTTGGTACGCCATATAAACACCCCTATGATCTGACACCAACCAGCCTCAGGCTGTGGGAGTCATGGCCTAACAGGAGACAATGCTGTTACCAAATAACTGTCTCTCCACTTCAGCCTCTCCCTTCTGCCCACAGCTTTGGTGTGAGGGTGGGGACTCTACAAACATTTCTTCCCTGCCAGGTGACTCTGTCACAATCAAAGCCATATGGAGCCTAGAGGGCAAAAGGCACAGAAGCAACCAGCCCCTGTTGGTTTCCTGTTCCTGCCAGTTGCCCAGCAACAGCCCTTCCTTGTAGCAGTGTTTGATTC